ACACTCTACAACCCGCCATTCAGTTGCTGATCCATTTCAAGATCAACTTAAGGGTGCCTGGTACTGCTTAAGGAATGGATGGTTATCTCCAATGGCATCCCCTGAAGATTCACCATTGTGTTTCCCTGTTGATGGTCAAGGAAACAGCAGTGGAAAGGTTCCAAAATGTTTCTTGGATGTTCATGAGAAGGGACTTAAAAAAATAAAAGCTGATTTTTCAAGAAAACTGTATGACTGCTTCCCAGATTTGAGATATGAATTGTTGCTTGGAAAGTAATTATATGAATCTGTAGCAAGTACAACAGACTGTAGTGTTTCTTTTCATGGCTTGATACATCTGACTTTGTTTTGTTATTGCACAGGACTTGCAAGTCCAGACATTTATACTACTGTAGATATCAGTTAAAACTAAAAACCTACAATGTTACTCACAAATATATATATATATATATATATATATATATATATATATATATATATTTATTGAAAGACTAGCTTAGCTACTCGGAGTTTCACGCTATAAAGCGATCATCAGGCTAATGGCAGGTCTGGTTGCTATTCTCTATATTTACATCGTGATATAAGGTGTCGAATTACGTGTCTACATTTCGTAAAGAGTTCAGAGCGTTTGTTCAGCAGTGTTCTAGTTTTGTCTTTCATGATATGGAGTTTCTCCTCAAGGCAGAGGTTGCATCTTCTTGAACCGGCTTTGTAGGCTGGGACAGTTTTCAGTAGGGACCATGAAATCGAAAAATCTTTCTTAGCTTCCTTCAGCTTCCATATGTGTTTCGACAGTTCCGTCTCCTTGGCATACTTCTTATTCGCGAAAGATTTTGCGTGATTTCGGTAGCGTGTTTTGAAAACGTCCGCAGTGACTCCGATGTACCTGGCTGGTGGATCGTTGTTGCGCGTGGACACTTCGGCTTGGTAGACTACGTTTGATGTGAGGCATTTACCTTCAGCTGGGCATTTTTCCGGTAGTCTGCAGTTGCATTGTCGTTGTTTGCTTGTGTCGTTTGTGTTTGCGTTTGTCTGTTTTGTGTGTTTGTTCAGTATTTTCTTGTTGTGTTTGTTTATGAATGAGCGCATGTTGTCAAGACAGCCGTAGCTGATTCGTACGTTATGTCGATTGAAAATTTTATGGAGTTGATTGGAAGGTGGGAAGTGTTTGTCTAACAGATGTAGGAATTGTTGTCCGATGTTCGTTTTTACGTTTTTCGAATAAGGGGGGTTATACCAGATTATATGGCGATGCCGTTTACGTTTTTGCGTTGTGTTGCTGCTGTCGATGTCTACGTTGTTGGTTGGTTGCTCGTACGTAAGTGTTGCGTCGTAGTTGCTTTGTCTCAGTGCGTTGTTGTACAATTGAGACGCAGCGTCAAAAGTTGTTTTGTCGCATGATAATTTGTTGATTCGCTTGTTGATGGATGATGGAAGTTGTCGTGTGATAGCGGGTGATTGGAAAGGCGGTTGATGTATAGTGGGTCGTCGTTGGGTTTTCTGTAGGGTTTGTATGTTCCGTTAGCCAAGTCAAGTGTGACGTCAAGAAAATTTACCCGCTTCAAGTTGGCCGTGGCGGTGATTTTCAGCCCGAAATTCGAGAAAGTTTTAGTCAACTGTTTTCTGGCTTTGTCACATAATCTGCCTGATGTAGTGCGTATAACGGCGAGGCCGTCATCGCGGTACAGTCCGACGTTCTCCAGTTGCCCTTCAAGTTTATTCAAGATGAATAGACCGACGAGTTCGCAGATTTCGGCCCCATCAAAACTTCCCATCGTGACATCAAAAGCGTTTGCGGCATTCGACTTTGTCCACGTTTGGTTGTTGTTGAATAATAGTGATTGTCTGGCGTGCTTGATTATTTTGATATCCTGATCGCTAATTTTGGAAAACTGTTTAGCCCATTCAATTGCTTTGTCGAGTAGTTGCTCAGTAATTGATGGGTAGAATTCACATATGTCAAAGTTCAGGAAAGTGTGTTTGTCCTTGTTTTTGATATCCTTGAACCACGCGATCGTGTCATCGGTGTTGCGCCATTGGTTGCTGTTTGTCTGCTTGCGGATGTTGTTGTTAATACTGTCGAGGATTGTCTTACTAACCATTCCGAGGTTGCTCTTGGCAGGATTAATAAGACGGCATTGCGGGTTATTTTCGAAGTTTTCTTTGTGGTCCTTAAGTGAGATAAACGCTGGTGTTTGGGCCATAGGTTCGATGCGATTATCGATTTCGAGTTTGGAGGCAATGGTTTTCAGTTCGTTATTGATGTCCTTCGCGGTGTTGACGTTGGCTATCTTGTATGCCTTGGTCACATTTTCTGATAGTATTTTGGTGTAGGCGGTCGCGCTCATCTCGTACATGTTGCGTGTCTTGTCGGCTGGGATGAAAACATTGGGAGATGTGCGGATTCTTTGTTTGTCGTCTTCTAGCTTCTTGATGAAATCGTCATTATATCTGCGGAATTTGATATTCACTAACATTTTCGCGACATCATCTTCGAATGATTTCATCTCAGGAACTTGTGGTGGTGTTCGCTTCGATCTCAGGCCGTACGTTTCTTTTCTGGTCGTTTGCTGTTCTTCATCGTTTTGTAGGAAGAAGTGCGCTTTCCAGCGCATTCTATGGATGGCTGATTCCGTTTTATTAATAAGGTCCCGTTCATCGTGTGAGGGAAGTCCTTTAAGAGAATAGTTAAACCGAATCTGTTGCATGTCTTCTGTATTAGAACCAATCCAAGTAGAGCGCTCGACTAATATAAGGAGCGATAATATCCAAATAATTGACTGTAACAAAAAGATCACAGAACTTGACAATGGTTGGAGAGCGCTCAATACCATTACTGGCAGAGCGATAATATATATTTATTGAAAGACTAGCTTAGCTACTCGGAGTTTCACGCTATAAAGCGATCATCAGGCTAATGGCAGGTCTGGTTGCTATTCTCTATATTTACATCGTGATATAAGGTGTCGAATTACGTGTCTACATTTCGTAAAGAGTTCAGAGCGTTTGTTCAGCAGTGTTCTAGTTTTGTCTTTCATGATATGGAGTTTCTCCTCAAGGCAGAGGTTGCATCTTCTTGAACCGGCTTTGTAGGCTGGGACAGTTTTCAGTAGGGACCATGAAATCGAAAAATCTTTCTTAGCTTCCTTCAGCTTGGTTCAAGGATATCAAAAACAAGGACAAACACACTTTCCTGAACTTTGACATATGTGAATTCTACCCATCAATTACTGAGCAACTACTCGACAAAGCAATTGAATGGGCTAAACAGTTTTCCAAAATTAGCGATCAGGATATCAAAATAATCAAGCACGCCAGACAATCACTATTATTCAACAACAACCAAACGTGGACAAAGTCGAATGCCGCAAACGCTTTTGATGTCACGATGGGAAGTTTTGATGGGGCCGAAATCTGCGAACTCGTCGGTCTATTCATCTTGAATAAACTTGAAGGGCAACTGGAGAACGTCGGACTGTACCGCGATGACGGCCTCGCCGTTATACGCACTACATCAGGCAGATTATGTGACAAAGCCAGAAAACAGTTGACTAAAACTTTCTCGAATTTCGGGCTGAAAATCACCGCCACGGCCAACTTGAAGCGGGTAAATTTTCTTGACGTCACACTTGACTTGGCTAACGGAACATACAAACCCTACAGAAAACCCAACGACGACCCACTATACATCAACCGCCTTTCCAATATCACACGACAACTTCCATCATCCATCAACAAGCGAATCAACAAATTATCATGCGACAAAACAACTTTTGACGCTGCGTCTCAATTGTACAACAACGCACTGAGACAAAGCAACTACGACGCAACACTTACGTACGAGCAACCAACCAACAACGTAGACATCGACAGCAGCAACACAACGCAAAAACGTAAACGGCATCGCCATATAATCTGGTATAACCCCCTTATTCGAAAAACGTAAAAACGAACATCGGACAACAATTCCTACATCTGTTAGACAAACACTTCCCACCTTCCAATCAACTCCATAAAATTTTCAATCGACATAACGTACGAATCAGCTACGGCTGTCTTGACAACATGCGCTCATTCATAAACAAACACAACAAGAAAATACTGAACAAACACACAAAACAGACAAACGCAAACACAAACGACACAAGCAAACAACGACAATGCAACTGCAGACTACCGGAAAAATGCCCAGCTGAAGGTAAATGCCTCACATCAAACGTAGTCTACCAAGCCGAAGTGTCCACGCGCAACAACGATCCACCAGCCAGGTACATCGGAGTCACTGCGGACGTTTTCAAAACACGCTACCGAAATCACGCAAAATCTTTCGCGAATAAGAAGTATGCCAAGGAGACGGAACTGTCGAAACACATATGGAAGCTGAAGGAAGCTAAGAAAGATTTTTCGATTTCATGGTCCCTACTGAAAACTGTCCCAGCCTACAAAGCCGGTTCAAGAAGATGCAACCTCTGCCTTGAGGAGAAACTCCATATCATGAAAGACAAAACTAGAACACTGCTGAACAAACGCTCTGAACTCTTTACGAAATGTAGACACGTAATTCGACACCTTATATCACGATGTAAATATAGAGAATAGCAACCAGACCTGCCATTAGCCTGATGATCGCTTTATAGCGTGAAACTCCGAGTAGCTAAGCTAGTCTTTCAATAAATATATATTATCGCTCTGCCAGTAATGGTATTGAGCGCTCTCCAACCATTGTCAAGTTCTGTGATCTTTTTGTTACAGTCAATTATTTGGATATATATATATATATATATATATATATATAAATATATATTACATACAATTAATAATACATACTTTATGTATGTATTATTATATACTGACAGTATTATACAGTTACTGACATTCTGTATAGATATGTATTCAGTGCAATCTACCTTTGTGCAAAATTTAAAATACAACTGTTACTGCTACTTGTTGGAGAGACTGTCTACTTGATTCTTAACATGTTCAATTATTCTTATTTGATTTTAAACAGTAGATTGTGCAAAAACAATTCTCTCAGAACCACTCAAAAGACTGTCTACATTCCCAGTTTTAATTTCAATTTGTGGTGATTCTATATTACCAACAGGGAGTTCACTGATCTTTCCCATAATAACCAGTTGATAAATAAGTGACTGTAAATACTTTCTCCCATTTCTGGATCTGAAATAGCATTTAAGAGAGCCAAATTCTGGAGCTTTATCAAGAGCAAGTTGTTTCAAAACAACTGTTGATGATCCCATTGCAAATTGTGTTAGTATGAGAATATTTACTTTCTTGTGGACCTGTTGTAACCTTTGCAGGCATTGGATGAGTAAGCATGAAATAAATGTGAAATCTTGAGGCTGACTAGGGTCCTCTGATGTACAATTATCACTTTCATCACAAACTTGGCAGTCATCTCCAAAATAATTCATAAGCTGCTTGTGTCGATATCCAGGTGCCACACAGTACTCCACCATTTTGTTCATGAGGTTATACTTGTAAGCCATGTGTTCTTTGTTTTCAATTTGTAATATGTTGTGCAAATGGAAGGATCTATCTTTATGGTCAAAAAGTAGCAAACACATTGCACGAGAACCATCGCGGCCAGTTCTCCCTACTTCCTGTACATAATCCTCTATGCTCTCTGGAAAAGATAGATGTATTACAAATCGTACATTTTTGTTATCAATGCCCATTCCAAATGACTTAGTGGCACATATAACTTTAGCAGTACCACAAGACCAAGCCTGCTCATATTTCTTTCTCTCCGCATCTGGCAAACCACCATGTACAAAAACTGCATCAATATTCTCTGATGCCAAGTTATGGGCAAGGTTTACTGTGTCTTTTCTTCGGGAACAATACACAATTCCTTGCTCCCCCGGACAATTAGTTTTAATGAAATCAACAATTTGTTGTACAGGCTTATCTTTCTTCGCATCTATTTGTAAAAATAAATTTGTCCTTGAAATATTCACTTGAATACTATTTGGGTTGTCCATACCAAGAGTAGACTCAATACAGCTCTTTACTCTTTCTGTGGCAGTGCCAGTTAGAGCAACCATTGGAACAGAAAAGCCATTCAGGTCACCAAGTCGTAAAAAATCTGGACGGAAACTATTACCCCAACTGTCAATGCAGTGAGCTTCATCAACTGCAATGAAGCTTAATTTTCCAGCATCATTCCATGTCTTGAACACATGCTGCAGCTTACTGGACATTGCACACTCGGGGCTTGTAAAAAGGATGGCATAAGGTAAATTTAGTCTGCAGAGGGTATTCACAACAAAATCCATTTCCAATTCTGTTAATGAGGAATTGTAGTAAAATGCAGGAACCTGTTTTGCTCGAAGTTTTTCTGCCTGCTCTTCCATTATAAATTTCAAGGGCTCCACAACAACAGTGAGTCCTTGCATAATGACAGCAGCCACAGTATAGATAGCACTCTTTCCACACCCAGTAGGCATTAAAACTACTGTATCATTACACCCAACAATTGAGCGTATAGCTTCAAGCTGACCATCTCTAAAAGAATCATACCCATAAACGTGTTTTAGGACAAATGTCTCTTTCTCTTCTTGACATTTGGGCAAATCCATTGGTGTTTCGCAATTTATGTTCATAATATTCTCTTGAGGGGTAGGAAATGAATTGACAGGCATTTTCTATACAAGGAAAGATGACAGGTGTGTAAATAAAAGATCACATTCTTGCAAAGTTATAGCATCTTATACCATTGCCTCTTCTCACTTGTACATGTGTTGAAACTGTTGAATATCCAGTTAGTATATGTTGCATGCATGCTGTATGTGTTTAAATATTACATACGTACCGACTTGAAGTAGATCGATTCGGCATAAATTTTGTCTCTAGCACGCCATAATTTGTAAATAGATGTTGATGATTTGCTAGACACATGTATTTTTACACCTTCACCATTCTCTTCCACTCTTGGCAATGTAATACTGTGATCCAAATACATTCCATAAAACTTTGCTGCTTCTTTGCCACTCGTACAATACAACTTGGTTCTGTCCTGACCATTTTCGCTTTCGATTTCGTACAAGTTGTACATGTTGTTCCCCTATATAGCATATAAAATATTATGGGTTAAAATTTACATTTTTATATACAGCGTACTATGTCGCACGATCATACAAAAATATAAACAATAATTACAATGAAAACACCAACATTGATTGCAGAGAATCAACTTACCGTTTCCCTTCGCTTCTCTGAAAGAGCTAACAAATTATTCATTGTTTCCATCGCAGTACGCGTACGCAATAATGACGCACCTTCGATTACAATATTTTCCGTCCATGTGACAGCTTTGTGCACTGTTCGATAATGCTGGTGTAATCCTTCTCGCGAAAAACAACAAGTGCTTTTGCAGTGAGGACAACACACACAGTTGTTCCGAAACGATATCAGATAACCTCTCTGACCTCCTATATCACTTAATCTCACTGTTTCCGCCATGATCCTATTTCAGTAAAAGCACACCCCCCGGTGTGGCGCCATGTTGGGTGTGGCATCTGGCAGAGACTTTCTCCTCCCCCCTCGTTCTTCGTCACCGCCCGCGCGCTCTATAGCAGCGGCTGTCGCCAAAAGCCTGCGCTCTATACCAGCGGCTGTCAGCGGCTGTCGCCCAACATCAAAAGCTGTCAGCGGCTGTCGCCCAACATCAAAAGCCTCTGCGGAGGAGAGAGGGGAAATACTTTGTCCGCAAAAATATTACATAACCAATTTCCATAGCAATGTAGCAAATGCATGATGTCATTGAATGATGTCACTAATTTTGTGACTGATGTCAGTATTCTACCATTCCTATTAAAATTATTCTAAGTTCTTTTAAAAATAAATATATAATAAATATATATATATATAATATACTACAAATCATTGGTACTGTCTCAAATAACAACATGAAAAACTGATCTATATATATACATATATATATGAAACTGAATTGATTTTATTTATTAAGTATACTTTATTACAGACTGTCTCAAAATCTCAGTAATTTAATTGTTTAGAAAAGCCATACATGTTCATTGAACGGCACTCCAAATCCATGTTTATGTCATATAAGTGCCTATAAATTAAATAAGAAGAAGAGTCTTTTCTGGGCCATCCTAGCTCACCAAACTTTTGGCACTCTACCAAATATATAGTACATATAAATATATACTGTTTCCTACATTAATAAAATATTCAAAAACTACCACTGCAATTACCTACAGTAGTGTAACACTAGAATTTTTATATATATATATATATATATATATATATATATATATATATATATATATAAAACTAGAGTTTTTAAAATCAATTTCATTACTCTCAATTTGGATTTAGCAGAGCAATAATTGAGTGTTTATTATCAATAGTAGTTAAGTAGTTATTGCTGGATATTTTCACCAATTGACTACTTGCTTTAAATATTTTAATGCAAAGATTATAGGAAATTTCTTTTCTACCTGATTTTGTAAGATTTTTAACAAGGAGCATCAAATATTTGTTCTGAAATGGTTGTAACATTCACATCACGAGGCTCCATTGCCACACGTTGCTAACAAAAAATTACAAAATACCAATGCTTAAATGCAAATCCTTATAAAATACCAATGCTTAAATTACAAGAAGAAACATATATAAAAAGAAAGCTTATAAGACAAAGATTTTAACCATACCTGATTTTCTTGACATTTTGCACCAGAAAAATGCAAATGTTTTATTTTAAGGTCGCTTTCCATATTTTCGTGCACTTGGAGATGAGATTTCCAAAAAAATCATAGCTCTTTGCAATCCTGAGATCCTTCGCTTTCCTCTAATACCAATATTATCCCAAAAGAACCCGGTGTCATCCCGGATTCAGTTTGAACACCAGGTGTTTACAACGAACATCGGTGCCATGTGATTTCATGGCGTTCGAAATCATCAAAATTTGTCAAATTTGACAGCTCATAACTTTTGAATAACGCAACATAAAGAGTTCAAAAATGGTTTGTTTTGAAGATCTTTACCTCATACATTCACATAAAAGGTTTCAATGTCCGCCATGATTTAATTATCAAGTTATTTTGCAGCGAACATGGGGTATTTTGCCTGCGAAATTCGCGAATTCCAATACCAGGCACCCGTGCGTGCGCAGTCCCTATTTTTGTTATTTTAATTGAGAAATTTTGAATGAAAACGATAGGCCACAATAATAGAGTAAAGCAAAGTAGGGTACATCAGTATGGGGCGCCAAATGTAAAAAAATTATATGTATATTTTTCGTAGTGAATTTTTCATTATTTATGAAAAGAATCATGATATACCTTATTGTTTGCAAATAAGCATATAATACATTTAGATTGTTTATAAACAATCACTTTTGCATAGAAAGTTTATTTGTTATTTAACAATCATTTCCACAAAATTGCTTATTTATAAATAACAATTTTTACAAAATTGCTTATTTATAAACAATAATTTCCACAAAATTGCTTATTTATAAATAATCATATCTACAAAATTGCTTATTTATAAATAATCATTTCAACAAAATTGCTTATTTATAAATAATAATTTCTACAAAATTGCTTATTTATAAATAATCATTTCTACAAAATTCCCTTTTTTAAATAATCACCTCTATAAAATTGATTATTTATAAATAATCATTTCCAGAAAAATGCTTATTTATAAATAATCATTCGTTATTTCAGAAGCGGTTTAGCTTCTATGCACAATTTCTATGCGCAATGACAATCCCAGCTCCTAACTTCCCACCCTTTCATCTGGATGTGTTTGCATTGAATTAAATGAGTAACCTTTCGTCTTTGGAGGAGAAATAATGAATGATTTAAACCCGGAGGAGTTGGAAAGAATTGTTGCCAATGCCGTTGCAAGCTATTTGCAGCCTAATGTCGTTAACAGCAAAACACCACAACAAAACGAAGGCTATTCTAGACACATAAAAGGTTTCAATGTCCGCCATGATTTAATTATCAAGTTATTTTGCAGCGAACATGGGGTATTTTGCCTGCGAAATTCGCGAATTCCAATACCAGGCACCCGTGCGTGCGCAGTCCCTATTTTTGTTATTTTAATTGAGAAATTTTGAATGAAAACGATAGGCCACAATAATAGAGTAAAGCAAAGTAGGGTACATCAGTATGGGGCGCCAAATGTAAAAAAATTATATGTATATTTTTCGTAGTGAATTTTTCATTATTTATGAAAAGAATCATGATATACCTTATTGTTTGCAAATAAGCATATAATACATTTAGATTGTTTATAAACAATCACTTTTGCATAGAAAGTTTATTTGTTATTTAACAATCATTTCCACAAAATTGCTTATTTATAAATAACAATTTTTACAAAATTGCTTATTTATAAACAATAATTTCCACAAAATTGCTTATTTATAAATAATCATATCTACAAAATTGCTTATTTATAAATAATCATTTCAACAAAATTGCTTATTTATAAATAATAATTTCTACAAAATTGCTTATTTATAAATAATCATTTCTACAAAATTCCCTTTTTTAAATAATCACCTCTATAAAATTGATTATTTATAAATAATCATTTCCAGAAAAATGCTTATTTATAAATAATCATTCGTTATTTCAGAAGCGGTTTAGCTTCTATGCACAATTTCTATGCGCAATGACAATCCCAGCTCCTAACTTCCCACCCTTTCATCTGGATGTGTTTGCATTGAATTAAATGAGTAATCTTTCGTCTTTGGAGGAGAAATAATGAATGATTTAAACCCGGAGGAGTTGGAAAGAATTGTTGCCAATGCCGTTGCAAGCTATTTGCAGCCTAATGTCGTTAACAGCAAAAGACCACAACAAAACGAAGGCTATTCTACAGTTGACTCCGCAAGACAATCTACCTCGGGTGCTACAGGGCAGATGAGAATAATTGCACGATGCTATACTAGTAAAAACTAAAATCACAATCACAATGAACAAACAACCATTTGTTTTAAAGTAAAGTGCGTATGGGCCTTATGGGCCTATATTATAATTCCTGGAGGACTTGCTCTTAACCAGAAAGTGAAGCAAAAAGCATGGCAGATTTTAAGCTTTGCTGACACCACTTGGTTCCTTTTGCTCATGGTAGTTACCACTGACATAGCGCAATACAAAGTCAAAAACTGGGTCCATCACCCTCCCGATTTTTAGGAAAATATTTTTGGCTTTTGGTATATATATTTTTTGTATTTCATCTAAAAAGGATAAACCTAAATTCAACAAATTGAAATGAGAAGTGACTTCGGGCTCTTCTTCTGACATTGTGAATGGCTTAATTCACTTATCGGGGAGTGATTTTTCTCATTGAGCTGTTATTTTATAGCATCCAGGTAAGCCGGTTCAGTGTAATAGTATAAACAGATTACCTGAGCTTCTGAGCCAATAAATTCATCAAAATGTATGGTACAAACAGCAAAAATACAATTTTTGACCTTTTGTACATTACAAGTCCAAATGTTATCTACCCAAACTTTGTTCTTGACCACATTGTGTGGGGAAGGAACTAAATTCCTTGCAGTGTCAAACTTTTGAGTTTGGTGTATGTTGTTTTCATGAGAGCAAACATCAATGTTAATAGGTAATGCATTCCCCCAGTTAGATCCACTTGATCCCTTTATTATTTAACATGATCTGACTGACAAAAGTGCTAAGTGGGTGCTGATACAAAGTAAGAAGATTTTTGCATCAAAAATGATCTTGTTTGCCTTGCCAAATCCAATGTCATTTTATCAATTACCATGGCTTATAATTTATTTTTTAGTTCCTTGCACCTTGTGAATAAATCTTAATCAGATCTCCATTATTTTTTTCAGGATGAAGATGCTATGAAATAAACCAAGAGATGGCTTGTCATGCAAACTGCTGAAACATTGAACTGAGATGAATACAGCACATTATACACATTGTTATGAATCTGCATTGTTATTCTAATTCCATGTTAACTTGCTGGTGTTTTTCTACCAATTGTTATATTTATTAAAATAAATATAAACATGCATTGACTGAGTGTTTCTTCAATCTTGTAACCACTTGAGTGTGTCTTTAATCTCCACACCATTAATTTTCTGTTAATTATATTAATTAACCTCGAAGAGGGCTATATTCATTAGCCTAATCAGGAATAATGGAGTCTATGGAGGGATAAATATTATTCATTACTATAACCAGAGGTCAAGGGATGCAATTGGACAATACTGAAAACTTTTATAGCCTATTGAGGTACAACCTGATCATGATGACTACATGAAAAGTATATTATGCAAATATGAGTCTTGGTTAAACTATATTCCTGCACTTAGTATTAGTCAGCTGCCCAGCATCTTGCCTGAGCTTTGGCCTCTGTTTCTTTGGATTATGCCTAGATATATTGTCCTGAAGACATTCAGGAAAACATTAATTGCAGTAATTCTGCAGTTCAGGGTTCAAAAAAGT